ACCCGGGAAGTAACTTGTTGTAGTCCCTACCAGCCGTTTTTGTAGGCATTAAACTGCCAGAATTTTAAAAGAGGATATCTCCGTTTGCATTGAACTTTCAGCTTCGTAACTTTGCAGATATTGTTTATGCTCAAACAGCAACATTACACACTAACTAACGTTCTGAATCTAAAATCATATTGTTATATCTTTAATACTACTTGAGTTACAGGCATGCAAACTTCGGAAAAAATTATATTTATGGCACTCAGACAGGTATGTTCAATGCAGTTGCTTTGACAGAAGTAAATCTACATCTCTAGTTTCAACATTTGTTCTTCAGACATTCCTCTTTAAAAGAAAAGAAGTATCATATTTTTGAACACATTTGGTTTTTGACCACTGAAAATATGTACATTTTAACAATTTACTCTTGGATTGGATTAAATTCCAGTATCTCTGGAACCGAACCATATAGGGCCTTAAAAATGAAGATGCCAAAAGGAAAGTTTGTTAAGACCCAATATCTAAAAGGGCATTAAGATATCTTTAATACTTCTTGAGTTACAGGCATGCCAACGTTGGGAGAAAAAAACTTGAAAAGAGCTGTTTCCCCATTTTTGAATGGTCACCATTGGCACATAATGCAACAAAGATTGCTAAAGTGAACAGATTTTACTAACAGACCTACCAATCTCTGTGTAAAAATAACATTATGATGCTGCCATCTTTTTGAAGTCATTTTACCCCCCTGTAATTTGGCTCTAAATCTCAGGTGAAAATTGCCATTTTGACCCCCTCTACAAAAATAGTGGATTACTCAGTAAATATTCAACCATGACATTTAATATTTTGGCTTTCATCACTATACATGTCTGTCTTTCTTCAGAAAAAATATCAGCAAAATCAAAAGTTTGAGCCGGGGAAGATTTTCAAATTTGTTTGATTTGACACGGAATGACCCTATTTTCATTTTTGGGTGAACTATCCCTTTTACAAATAAACGTAGAAATTAAGATCTTTACGAAAAGTAAGTCATTTAAACAACTTCTCAATATCAACACTGATCCAATTTAACAAATCGAAACAAAATACATTCAACCTTGAATCATGGTGTCAATTAAGAGTGAACAGACAAATAAACCTGAATAAATCGTAGGTAAACTCAGCCAGATTCAGTTTAAAAGTAATATTCTGTTAGTGGAAATCTATTCTATTCCTAACCAATGGGTCAAGGCTTGGCAAGTCAGCTTAAAAAATGCCATAACTATAGACCTTATGCGTCAGAGAAACAATTGCGCAGCCATCTTTACAATTCTGTCTTTGAACTTCCGTTTGTGTGGTAGTTCTATAGCATCACTGTTTAAGAGTAATTAGTTGGCAAAGTAGATTTACTTATTGTAGAGTAACCAAAAATTATCATGTGCATTGTAACGTTCGAAGCGGATGTCATAACAAATGTCAGCAGACCGGATAGATTTTAAAACGAGCAGTTCATTCACAAATTCGTACGACCTTACCTTCTTGCAGTGGAAATACAAACAGGAAGACAAGAGGACAACGAGCACTGAAAAGGGGCGGAGCTACATAAGATCTATATCATCTGGCTGCAAAATGTCAAAATATATCTGTGTACTTCGAAGTGGTGATGCACTACCCTAACAACTGTCATGCTACCGTATTGCTCTCTCCAGGTAATACAGACCTCCTTGGCCCAGACAGAGGAAGAGTGGACGGCTCTGAGAGGCTCTTGTCCTTCGAGCTTACTGGCTTTGCCCTGGTCACAGCGAGACAATGGCTCTAAACGTGAGGCTGAGAATGATTTGTTGGTGACTTGACCTTTCCAGCA